GCCAATCAGTGTTTTATTTATTTACCAATCAGAGCAATTTGACATATAGACCATCCCACAGCATAGTAACTGTGCCATGCTCTCCTCACAAGCAAAAGCAGGAGCTTCGTATGCATGCTTCAAGCCTTTGCTCATGTTTTAGCCTCTGGCATCAGCTAATCACTGAACACAGTCCTGGTGTCAAGGAGACAGATGCATTTAACCACCATCAGAGAGAACTATAGTCACAGGCTGAAGGACACAGATCCAGAATGCTGTTACCTACTAGATATGAAAATAATGTTACCGAGAAAGTCAGCATTTACTGCATGGTCACCAGTGAGAAGGAATGTGTCTGGCTCTTGGTGAATGGAGCATCTATTATTGGTCTAACTAAGCACATGAGGGAGAACAATGGGTGAAGTCAGAGTTCATTCATATGAGCAAGGTTGGCAGAGCCCATGCTCTGAATTAGAACCAAAAAAGCAGAAGTTGTGAAGCTGATGGAAACCCTGGAACCCAGAACTTGCCTCCAGAAATGAAAGATCTGAGGACCTCTCTCCTACAGAAGCCAAGAGCTTCTGGACATGGACCCAGTTACATGTCCACTCACTGCACTGTTCTACCACTGAGAAAGGTCTCCACAGCCCCGAGGTGGCAAAGGGTTCGGGGGAACTTGCAAGGGTCTTACACTGCCTGCAAACTGCTATTGGTGCCTTTTTAGATGTGCCTGTATTCCTGGTCTAAAGAAGGAGTTTCAGAAACAGCTATAACGATATGCACAGCTGAATCATGACAGCTCTAATTTAAAGAATGTCCTGGAATTAAGTATGAGCAATTTTGATGGGTAACCAGGCATATCCAATACTGTTTGTTGCTGGATTTCCATCTTCAGTACAGTTTCATAAGGACCCACATTAGATTGGGTTGAGACACATCGCCATCTTACAGTTGTGTCTCTGTTTCATATTCCTCATTTGTAGTTTTTTCAAGCAATCCTCTGAGCAGTCCGGTCGTGATATTTCTGCAACAGTCCCATGAGAATCGTCCAGTAGAGGCAGAAGTTCGGAGGCTGAGCTGCAGAATCAAGGAGGGGCACTGCTAGAGCAGTGAGTGCTTGGCAGACACAAGCAAACCCATTCACAGAATTCAGATCTGTCACTGCAGATGAGTCAGAATTTGTCGCTCAGAGTGTGACACAGAGTGGGATGCACAGCAGCACACAGGGTGAGGAGACAGGCCACTAGCCCAGGCTGCTGCTTTGAGCAGCTCCCTCGAGTGTTCTCCACAGCTTCTTTACCTCTTTCTTCCCTCTGTGGTGGTGGACTCTGTTCTGGCTTTTATTTTCCCTCCCTGAACATCTTAGTTCCCCCATTTGCAGCATCGATGAACTGAAGGTTAGTTTATTTATTGTCCCACCCCTAGAAAGCAAAGTGAATTATTTGAAGCCCATGATATAAATATCCTAGTGACGCATTTAGTGAAAATATGCAAGGAGTCAAGAGAAGAATCGTGTGTTTTTTATGCATTACTACACCCAACTATCTTGCAGTTTGACTGACATGAGGACATTATGTAACAAATATTTGTATAGCAGATAAAGAATGAAAATGGGATAAATTGGCTCAATATATGGTGATTGCTATGAATTTAGAGTGGAATCGGCTGTTTCTTCATCATTCTATTTAAATATCTGCCGTCATGAAACCCCTGTGAAGTGCTGGACACTGTTTTAAATACTTTGAATAGCCATGCAATTAAGTTTTCAGAGGCAGACCTTTCAGTTTTTGCAGATGAAGAAACTGGGGAATGTATAAGCAACTCTCCTGAGTGAATGGAAAACAAGCAGGAGGCTGAGCTGGATTCCCACAAGGGCCTTCACTGTGCTTTCTAAATTCCCCTGGCGCAGGAGGCAGTGGGTTCCAGAAGCTCGTTATGTTTTGCCAATGCTTGCGTTTTCTGGACTTCTCCCAGTTTGTTCTGGAAGTTGATCCAGGAATGGATTCAGGACTCCCTGCAAGTCTGCTTTTCCAGCTTTTTGTGGTGAAGGCAGAGGAAGGAAGGTGGGTAGCCAGTCAGCTCTCGAAGTGAAAGAGCCCAAGGAGGCCGGAATTGACGGACTCGGGCCAGCAGGGCCCCGGGGTCAGCTGACTACAGTGGTTCTCAACTTTGCCGGTTAGAATCATCTGTGACACTCACAAAGGACCAGTGCCTAGGGCCAATTAAAGCCCATCATGGAGACAGCTAGGCTCCAGAAAACCCTGAAGATTCTGGGTAGCCCCTACACAGCCAAGCAGGTGAAGCTCAAAGAGAGAGGTGTGGTGCTAACCTTGGGTCTCTGTGGGGAGGAGATGTAACTGCTGCCACAAATGGGCGAGGACACTTTGCCAACACCACATTTGACCAAGACGGCCTTCTCTAAAGGATGATTGAGTCCTTGTGCCGTGTAAGTCTCAGACCTGGGCTTCCTACCAAGCCCAATTACACAGGAAACTATAATGTATGTTGTGTGTGTCGCTGAGGTTCTGGAAAATGTGTACAACTTGGTGTGTGGTCCCCACTACTGTATAGACCTGGGCCTCTCAACAACGTATTTAACCGGTGTATTTACATACACTCCTAGTTCTGACGCGAATTGCCAATCGATTGGAATTTGGTAACTCTTGGTTTAGGGTAGGTTTCCACTGTTTGCATGCATGCTTGTTTCTAGTTGTTGTTATCATCTTATCCTGAGTAAAACAAATTTCAAGGTGAAAAGTCACGTCAGGTATTTCCTCCATGAAAAATAG